TGCAGCTGTTGCTGCTGTCTCTAGATGCTTGTTTTTGTCGGGGAGGTACTGGCACGCGAATATGCTGCTGCTGCTGCTGCTGCTGCTACCCTTGCCGGCGAACTGCGGCGGGTGTTTGCCCTCAGCAGCAGCAGCTGCTGCAGCAACAGCTGCAGCAGCTGCAGCAACAGCCACAGCAGCAGTTTGTGTGTTTTCTCTGTGTCAGGCTGAGGGAGAGAAACGGCGAGAGTCCCTCTGCCTTCTTCTGCTGCTGGGCGTCGTGCCGCAGCAGCAGCAGCAGCAGCGGCAGCAGCAGCAAAAGTGACTGGATTTAGACGAAACAGAGACACAAGCAGCAAACTTTTTTGTATCAATTATATCCTTTTTAACTGGTTCTGCAGCTATCTAGAAGAAGCAAAATATAAAAACAAAGAAAACAAATAGACAGATAGGCAAAAGAGAAAGAGACACGAAGAAGGAAGGACAAGCAGCAGCAGCAGCAGCAGCAGAGACAAGAAGAGAGAAGAATTAAAGGAAGCAGAAAAAAGGAAACAAGGGATACGGAAAGAAAAGAGAAAGACACAAGAGATACCCACAGAGACAGCGAGAAGCAGCTGCAGCAAAAGTGACAAACAGCAGCAGCAGCAGAAGCAGCAGCAGCAGCAGCAGCAGCGGGGACTCGAAAAGTGACGAAAATATGAACAAAGAAACTCTCTTGATTGAGACAGACAGATTTCGGTGATGCTTGAACAAGTGCCTCTCTGCAGCCACGCTGCTGCTGCTGTAGCAGCAGCAGCAGCAGTAGCAGCAGGGCAGTGGGCTGCAGCAGCAGCAGTAACAGTAGCGCGGCCCTGGGCAGCAGCAGCAGCAGCTGCTGCTGCTGCTGCAGCCAAGGCGCAGGGCAGGGACGGGTCCCTGCAGCAAATGTGAATGGGCCAGAAGGACAGAAGAACTTCACCTTCCATTTGGGGCTTTTTGCTGCGCCTCAACGCATGCAGGGAGTCTGCATGCGCGCATCCAACAGCTCGCATGCATGCGCGGCTGCGGGAGCGCGCATGCATGCAGCGGCGCATGCAGGCAGGCATGCAGGGCTTGCATGCAGCGAGCGGTGCATGCACGGGTGCATGCACGCACGCATGCAGCGGCGGCTGCAGCGCGGACGCGTGCATGCAGCCCTGCATGCGCGCATGCATGCGCGCATGCACAGATGCATGCAGGGCTGGGAGAAACGCATGCGGGGCGGAGGCAGCGCGGGGCCGCCGCCGCGAGTGTCTGTACACCTGGCTGCTGCTGCAGCGCAGCGCAGCGGCGGGGCCGGAAAGGGTGAAGTGTACATACACCGCAAGCCTGTGGGACTCGCTCGACACCGGAAGCAAGGGCGCAAAAAGACTTTTATTTTAATCCAGAAGCAAAAAGAAATAAATCCAGAAGCTGGAAGAAGCTGGGGCGAAAGCCCTGCGCAGCTGCTGCGCCGAGACCCACAAAAACCCCCAGAGCTGCTGCTGCTGCTGCTCCGGAGCTGCTGCTGCTGCCGCTCCGGAGCTGCTGCTGCTGCTGCCCCAGCCAACCAACTCCTCTCTCTTTGCTTCCGCTCTGCGCCTCTCAGCTTCTTTAACAAACACAGGGGCACTAGGCCGCGCCCGCAAGACAAAGGGCGGCGAGGCGGCGCTAGAGCCCAGCAGCGGCTCGCTGCTGCTGCTTCTGCTGCTGCTGCTGCTGCAGCGCAGGCAGCAAAGGGCCCATCACTAAGAGCTACGTCTCTGCTGCTGAGACAAACAAGCATGAGAAACCAAACTCGAACAAGACTGCTGCGTCTCTCCCCCATGTTGCTGCTTCCGCTGCTGCTGCTATTGCTGCAGCAAAGAGCACGGGTGTACCTGCAGCTGCAGTTGCTTCTGCTGCTACCATTTATCCTGACGCCGCTGCTGCTGCTGCAGCAAGCAGCACTTTATTGTTGCCCTTCCAACCAATGCAGAAGCGGCAGCAGCAGCTCTCGCTGCTGTTGTTACCGGCTGCCGCCGCTGCTGGTCTGCTGCTAAAGTTCATGCTGCTGCTGCACCGCAGGCCGCTGCTGCTGCTGCTGCTGCTGCTGCTGCAACTAAGACCTGTAGTCGCTTCCCCGGGAGGTTTGCGTGGACGCGCATTCTTCTGTCTCTGCCAGTTTGCTGGCGGCGCTTTCTTCCGCGTGCTGCTGCCGCTGCTGCAGCTGCTGCTGCTGCAGCGGCTGCACAGCAGCAGCAGCAGGGGGCACAAAGCAGTCCCTAGTTCCCTCGGCAAAGGCTTCCGACTGCGGGGACAAAAGGGCCCGCAGCAGCAGCTGCTTCGGGGAAGGAGATCGAGATGTTCCCAGTTGCTGCTGCTGCTGCTTCGGGAGCGGCTGCTGCTGCTGAGGGTGAAGAAGCTCACAAGGCGCCGATGCTGCTCCCCGCAGCAGCAGCTGCTGCTGCGGGTGTTCTCTTGGGGCAGCGGAAGCGGGAGCTGACGCAGCTGCTGCTGCTGCTGATGCTGCTGCTGCTCCTGAGCTGCTGTCCAGCAGGGTGCTCGGGACGAAGCCCTCGGGGATGGGCTGCTGTTGCTGCTGCATTTGCTGCTGCATTTGTTGCTGCAGCTGCTGCTGCAGCTGCTGTGGGGTGTCCCGAGTTTCTCCACTTGCAGCTGCAACAATCTGCTGTTGCTGCTGTTCCTGCTGCTGCTCCTGCTGCTGCAGCTCGTGCTGGCGGCGGCTGAGCACTTGTTGTGCCGGGTGCAGAGGATCCTGCGGGCTTTGCTGCAGCTGCTGCTGCTGCTGCTGCTGCACGTGAGGCGCACCACCTGTTGTGTCGAGAGCCCCCCAGAGGCCCTGCTGCCCCCCATCAGAAATCTGGAAAGGCAAGTTTAAAATGTATTTATTTCTGTTTATAAATTGGTCTTGCTCATTTGCAGGTAAAGACAAAGGAGACACAGGAACAGCAGGGAGTCCCTTATCATTGACTGTCTCCAGCGGAGTTGTCTTGGCACAAAACATTTCCGTCCCCTGCTGCTGCAGCAGCAGCTGCTGCTGTTGCTGCTGTTGCTGCTGCTGCTTGTGCTTCTGCACCGTAAAAAGCAGGGACGAAGGCTGCAGTCCACCTGAGGCTGCAGGCGGGTACAAGGGGGGGAATATGGCATTGCCGCTTTTGCTGCTGCTGGCGCAGCTGCTGCTTGTTAGCGGTTTGCTGCTGCTGCAGG